TATAACATCCTTCTAAATCAAGTTCTAATAGTATTGGAACTTTAAAAACAAATTTGAAAAAATATATATAAAATTATAATTCTTTAATTTCAAAACATTAAATTTCTTAAACTTTTTCTATATATCTTTTTTATTTAATAGATATGATGTTTTACCAAATAATTCTTTTTCATATTCTTTTTGATATTTTTTTCAAACTCAATATTTAGTGATAAGTATTTTAAGTTGATAGAAAGTTCTACTAACATAAGAAATCTACTCAGATTATATATATTCTATATGAAAATTTTATTACTATTAAAGCTTAATTTTTGAAGTATTAGAAAAATAAATCCTTCAATTTCAATAACTAAGTTATTATTTTGATTGTTGAAAGATAATCCTTTCAACTATATAATAATAAAATTCAAACATAACCACTTAAAAATTACCACACTTCTTGTCCACTTATTGTACATACAAAAATTTATAATAACCTTAAAATCAAAATAAAAACCTCTCATCTAAATGTATTATGATATAAAAGTACCATATTTCTATTATCTAAGTATTAATTCATATTTTTTATCATTATTTCTATATATTTTATTTTGATAAGGATCAAAAATATACCTTATTTGTAATTCCTTTTTATAGCTCTATTTTCATATTCTATGTTCTTATGCTCTTATATTCCAACTCACTTTCAAGAATCCTTTGACCTATATTTTATATTTGATTATGAATTTTTATGTTTCCACCTTTATCTATTCTTGCCAATGATTGATAAATCAATATATCTAATGTAATTTTTACAACTTCTTTTAAAATATTTTCTTCATTTTTAGTCCATATATGCAAGGCTCTTTCTTTTAGTATGACTTGAGAATACACATCACTACTAAATAAATAATATATGTCCAAAAACATGTTCTTTTCTTCATATTTTAAGTTACCAAAGTTTATTCTAAATATATTCTATAACTTGTTGTCACTATTCTTTTAATCTCTATCCAAATCTCTTCTCTTCTTCAACCTTTATAAAAATCTCTTTCAACATTTCAACCTCTTTTGACTTCTTAAAAATGCACCTATAACTTTAAGATTCAAAAGTAGGCTATTACAAGCTTTTATAATTTTATTGCCAATCTCAACAAGTTTATTAAGCAATGTCTCTTGATATCTATAAGAATGTATAATGAACAATCTCATACTTGTTTCTTCATCTAGTAATTCAATATTTATCTTATAAAATTTTACATCAAAATTTTCTATTAATTTCCAATTTTGAATTGTCACAATTAATGTACTATTACTATTAGCAAAAATTTCACCCATGGCCACAATATCTTTAATTTGGCTTTGATTCTTCACATCATCAAAGATCAAAATAATTTTATTCTTTGTAAAGAATGATTTTAACATTTTTTGAGCTCCTTTTATATCTTTTGGTTTTGATTTTTCTTTTAATTACTCCAAGATTTTGCAAGAGATTATAAAGCAATCTCTACCACTTTCATTACATTCAAAAAAACATGATTTATCATATATGTGCTTTGAATTATAGAATGCAATCTTAGCCATTCTAGTCTTACTTATTCCACCTATTCTACTAAGACATATTGCCTTCATATTGTTTTGATATAGTTGTTTGATATGCAATAAGTATTGTATTCTATCTAATAATTTATCTTCTAATTATTTAGCCTATATTTATAAACATAACCATAAATTAGTTAAATTCCTTAGTGCATGAAATTTGAAAAATATATATTTATTTAAAAGCATCTAATTAGCATCATATCACAAAGGCTAATAATTATATAACATTAAAATCAATTTAAATAATTCTATGCATATTCACCATATTTATTTATATAAATCTTATCAATGACATCCTATTGTGAGTTTCTTGTGATTGTATGAATTAATGAATCCTCTTTCTATAAATCAAATTTTAGTATTTAAGAAATACCATCTTCTTTCAAAAATAATTTCTTCAATCTCATCAATCTTTTGCAAATACTTGCAAATTTTGGTCATTACAAAAGATTTTACTTCCAATATTCTTCAATAAGCTTTTTTAGTTCATTTCAATTTGAAAGCAACTTTGATCTTTCACCCATATTTATTCTTTTTAATATCTCTCTTCTCATAGTAACATTGTAAAATGGATCTTTATTTGAAAGAATTATAGAATATTCTATCAAAAATGAATAAATATTTGCTTCAAATAGATACAACTTTATTTATACTAATTTATTTTTTAATACTTCAAAAGCTATGTATTTTATACTACCAAAGAGATTATTATTTTTTGTAGCTTTTGGATTCGTTCCAATATCAACCTTTGGCATTCTAAAATCAATCAATTTTACATCAATATATTTAGTAATCTCATTTATTATTTATTTTTTAATAATATTAAATAAGACATTTTTTGGCTTCAAATCTCAATGTACAATGTATATATTATGAAAATAACACATTCTTCTTGTAATTTGATACATAATATCAACAAAGAAAAATATGGTTTTTTTTCTTTTACTTTCAACACATTCTTTAAGCTTATTTGCATCAACTCTATTCCTAAATATAAACTTTCATTTTTATTTTTTATAGTATAAGATTGACCATTCCCAATATCATCATCTTTCAATGCAAAATAATACAAAATCAAATTGAAACGGATTAAATCTATTAAAATTCTCACTTCTTTGATAAAAAAAACTTATTATATTTAACATACATCATTTCTCCTACACACAAAAATCTCCACCATTTTATTTTGTAAACTTCTCCAAAAGATCATTTATTTATAAATTCCATACTTTTAATATTTATCATGTTTGATGACAACTTTAAAGCATCCAATTCTCTACTTTTTGTGCAATGCGTGTCCTTCAATCTTTGTAATAAATTGTTAGTTACAATATTCAAAATTTTCATTTCTACTTGTAAAGATCAACTGCTAGTATAAATTTTTATTATCACCTTCTACTTTATTAAAGGTTGAATAAATTTTTTTGTAAATATGGTATCTTCAAATGTCTTCCAATTTTGCTTTCTAAACACATCACTTACCACATCAAAATAATATTCAAATCCCAAAGAAGTTCTCTAAAAGTCTCTTTATTCTTCCATTGAGATATAGCCACTTAGCACCAAATTTTCATTTCTACAATTTTTTATCAATAATTCAGCTTTATTCACGATAATAAATAATTTATTTAATAAAATTCCATATTACATTCTATCATTGTTGTAAATTATTAGTTGTGAAAAGACCTTTATAATACAAGCAATTTTCTTATGTAGATTTATACATTGTCTTTTCTTCAAATGATCTATTCTCAATAAAGCTTGTATTCTTTCAAGACAAATTTGACATTCTTTTCAAATATTTTTATTAGTATCTTGCATACTTGATGTGGTGTCAATATATTTAACATTGTTTATAAATATTTGAATCCAAAAATCCACTACCAACCTTAAAGCCATTGATAAAAATCTTGTAAATAATTTTAAAAGATAAGTCATAATAAAATACTAATAAGTATTTTAACTTGATTCTTAATCACACATTCAAACATAGAGAGTAGTTTTAATTGAAATTAGTCAAAATTCATCAATATACATTCTATTAGATATAAAAATTAATAATTATATTATTACTTATAGCAATGTCAAATCTTCAATAAATATTCTAAATACTAAATTAAGACATTCAATCAAATTTAAAATTATCCAATTTTAGAATAATACTCACTAAGTTGTCTTTGTATTACTTATCTACTGCATTCTTCTTCAATTTTCTTGTATAAACTACTACATTTATCCTACAAAATATTTCCAAATTAAAAACCAATTTTAAAATTCCAACCTTCAATAAGACTTATTTGCACTTATAAACATAAAATAAGTATACATTCATACTATAAAGAAGTTACTACAAACAAAAAGATTATATCTTATTAATACAACCATGTTATCTCATATATATCTATTAGTCATAATTTTGTGTCTAAAGATGTAAGATATTTTAGAAGCTCAGGATGAGAAAACATTGGAAGAACTTTGATTGTATCAATTATTATTCTTTCAAATTATTGAATACTACTTAACTTCTATAATATGTAATTAATGAATTTAAAATTATTTAGATGATGGCTTACTTTCTTTGCTTTATTCTACAATCTTTCATATAATCATTTTTCATTATACTTAATTTTTTTAAAATCACATAGATTTAATTGGTTGCATCTTAAGAATTTAAGTTATGTATATTGAATCAAAAAACTATTTTAATATTGACATATTTTGGAAAGAATGGTATATTATAAATGAATTGTAGTGAATAATGACACATGATTTGTATAGCAAATAAAATATTCTTTTATAACTATCAAATGAGCCTAAATTAAAAATAATCCATTAGGTACTTATAGAGCTATGATCAATCCAACTTAGAACAATATTGAAATATTTTTTTGAATGTGGTATCCAATTACATATGAGTACTTTATAAGACCTCTTTTGACCTTGATAACTACTTCTAACCTCCTATGCATACTTTCTATAAAATTTTGGTACACAATTGCTTCAATATTATTTTATTATGCACCTATTTTTTTCCATAATTTCCAAACTTCCTTTAGTTTTAGCTTCCAATTGTTGAGTTGGCGTTTGAAGTACTGCCAAAGATATTCAATGGAATTAAGATCAAGAGACTAAGAAAGCCAATCCATTATTTTAATTCCATGATAATCAAACCACTTCTATACTAGTTTTGAATTATGCTTGGAGTCATTATCTTGTTGAAAATTCACCTCCTCTTCAAAAATACCAAATTTTTCATTGCTAGGGAGCAAATTTTTTTCAAGAAGTTCTACAAGTTGTTTGGTATCCATCCTCTCCTCAACCTTTGTTATCTTTCCAACCCTATTCCATTCTATACAATCTCACACTATTATATTTTTATCCCCATGCTTAATTGTTTCTTCGATCTTATTGTCAAGTGAAAATTGATCCTTTTGTTTCTACACCCACTTTCTACCATTTGATCCAAATTTGATGATTTTTATCTCACATGACCAAATAACCATCTTCCAATCTTCCATATTCCATTCCTTGTACTTCAGAGCAAAATCTAAGCATAGTTTTCAATGACAGATAGATAATAGTATTTTTTTTCTTCTTCATCTCAATTTTCATATTCCATTTTTTGAGAATATTTTGAATGGTTTGGATTGACACAAGCTTACTGATAATATTTTTAAAGTTTTTAGCAACCTCAATAGCATTTTTAGCCTTCCTAGTGTTGATTTGGTAAATGATTATTCTTTCATCTACTACAATGAGTTTCTTTGGTCTACTTAATTCAAGTTTTTTCCTATTCAAAGTAATCTTTTTTGCTAGCAAAGAGATAATAGCTTTATTAAAGCCAAGTTTAAAAGCAATTTAACCATAAGATTTTTGAGAATGAAGAAAAGCACATGTAATGTTGTCTTAGAAAGAACAGGAAATAGATTTCATAACTGTTCAAAGAATTGTCAAAGATACAAAAATTTGACAAAGAAATATGTTAAGATTAAAGACAAAGAATGAGATTGATAACAAAAGTTATTTAAAAGATTTCTATTTATACTATAATGAAGGTTATGAAAGTCTATGGTATTTTCTATGGAAGTTTTTAGAAGTCTAAAAAAGCTTCTAGAAGATTAAAAAGACTTCTAAAAGCCTATAGAACTTTCTAAAAAATCATAGAAGATTCTACAAATATTTAGAAGGTTCTAGAAATTTGTAGAAGATTTTAGAAAGTCCTAAAATGTGATAATTTATAATATGTATGTGCCAAGAATTATAATTAAGAATGATACTTTTAAAGTTATTAATAAGTATTAGTAATGTCATTAGATTAATATTAATATTATTATAATAAATTTGATAATAAAATGCAACAATATTAGATAATTGATAGAATTCAAAGACTAATCACCACACTCAAAAAATTGTTTTAATACTATTTCAAATTAAGTTGGCTACAACTTCGTAATTATTAAAAGAATTTTTTTCAACTTAAAATCATTTGGTAGCTGTAAAAGAGTTCTTTATTTGCTATAGAAATCACGTGTCATTATTCAATACAATTCATCCATAATACACCATTCTTTTCAAAATATATTAATATTGAAACAATTTTTTGAATCATTGCATGAAATCTTATCTCATGTATAACTTCATCAATTGTGTTACATTATTACTCTAATTCCAAGAAAACTTTTCTAAATATCTCTTTGTTTGTCCTTTGTATCAATGTAATTTCACACCAATTTCTTCAACAATTCACCTACACCACCTTTGCCTTCAAATACACTTCAAAATAAATCTTCCAATAATAGTTGAAAAATGTAAAAATTAAACCCAATAATTTGCTATTTTTTTTGCCATATTATTTCTAAATTAAACAATAAATTTTTACATTGCCTTGCATTGAAGAGACATTTTTTTATTAGATCTTAATTCAAAAAATCCTACATCTAAAAAGAATTACATGTCATGAATTATTTGTCTCAAACATATCTACCAAAACATACAAAATAAATTATTCATCATCATCCAAACAACTTTAATTTAATTTACATACTTCATATGTGGTTTCAACATTAATAATGTATATATATATAGACGAAAATGTTAAATAGATCTAGATTTTTACTAAATTAATCCACCATCCTAACCATGATAAAAATAAATAAACCACCTCTAGATTCATATCTTCACTATTAAATATGCAAACAATAAAAATCAACTACATTCATCATGATTACCATATTCTTTGTCAAGAGTGGGTTGATTTAGTTTAAAAAAAATTGATCTATTTAACATTCTCTTATATATATATATATATATATTCTTTTAATATGAAGTTAATAACAAAGTTTCACAAAAAGAATAAAGACCTTGCAATTCAACACTTTGATTATCACCTCTTACCAATCTTACAACATTACATACATTCTCAAACAACATGCTTAATCATTAATTGTTTTACTTTTATTTATTGTTTATTTATTTGATGATGTTTTTTTTTTTAATAAGTTTTGTTCATCTTCTTAGAGGATATAATAATTTATATCATAAATGTTATTTTGATTTTTTTTATTTTCTTATTATTTTTCTTATTTTGGTTTATGTTCGTGGTAAAAAACACTCACAATCAAGGGGAAGCTATAATTCAGTTACGACAAACGCATAAAATGAATGTGAACTGAGATAACTGATAGAGATGAGTCTGACCTGTGTCTAGAATAAGCAGTGCACACAGAGCGGCTAAAGGATTTCTGCGACAACTGGAAGTACGTTGATGTCGCCTGTCCACTGCTACTAGCTCCAGTACTGCCATTACATAGCATTCATCAGCAGCAATCTCAACCCCACTCTCATTCAGTATTTAGAGCAAAGTAGCGGCCCACTCTCTATCCACTTTACGATACTCAAGTTCAACTACTAGAGCGTCGCTACAGAAAACAACTCCAGGCCAAGAATATGGACTACAAATGCTCTGCCTTCAACAAAATTGTAAGATCAAATACAGAGTAAGGGACCGATTAATCGTTTTCCGTGATCATGGCATAGACCATGCAAGTCATGTAGTGGATGACCGGGCGTAATCACAAGTATTGGAATGTACTACGAATGACTCGAATTTCCATTCATGGCAACTGATTCAATCGCAAGAGCCGCTTGAAGCGAATAAAAACTGTTTCCCTCAACTTCTATGCATCATGGTGCAACACAGAGCTTTGGTCGCAAGAGCAGTCCCCTCCCTGCCCCAACTTCGCGATCTGCTCTAAAGACCAGGTGCAAGAGTAGGTTGAATACACATCGCGAAAGATGATCCTAGGGTTTCTCACTTGGAGGACCGAACGCATGCAAATAAACAGCTCTCCTCACCGCAACACCAGGTTCCAAGGCTCTCCCGTCCGCATTCACAAAACCCTCACGAGGGTCCAGACCTATCATAAAAAGCGACAATATCCGAATGCATGCACGTGCACAACAAAAACAAAGTCGTCCCCCGCCTTAATCTCAAATTACGAATTCCACCACAAAGTTATGCTTCGTTCAAAACCAACAGCATGTTCGAAGGGCATTCTATTGCCAGTCGATTTTTCTTCCATGAGAACAGGATCGAATAAACAACAGACGTACAACATGCGTATTCCCACGGGTTCGCGCTCAAATAAAAACTACAGATCCTGCACAGATAATGGCTACGATCTCCGGTAGTTGCGATTCTCACCCTAACCCCTCGTAGCTAAAAACTCGACCAAGACCACTTTCGCCTCGCCTCAACTCAACATCACGCAATCTAGTCCCACACGTCCTCCAACGACCATCACAAATTTCACCAAGAGGCACAAACCTCCCAAAAATTCGAAACCAGAGTGAGAGAGAGAGACTGAGTGAGAGAAAGAGAGGCTAGAGAGCCTCCGTCCAGCAATAGGGTTTTCGGGGTCGACTGAACCTGGATCCAGCAGACTCAAGAGATCCAACTGCAGATGCCCACAGTGTGAATCAGCGATCGAGAGGGACCTGACACTTTCAAAGCTGATACTTGTTGCAACTGATTCTTCCAGAGTTACGGAACCGACCACTACACATATACACAAACGTGCTGCAAAAATAGCAAAAAATGGTGCTGGTTCTCACAATCCCCGGGACCCATCTGACAACCTTCAATTATCTATTCTGGCGGATAGGTCCCACGTTTTCATCCATGTGGATAAATAAAACATAACCGGCTGATCAGCCGTGAATTTAATGAATTTGGAGCGATTGTTCATGCAAGTGAGCAAGTCTTGGATTGAATTCGAAAGGCCAGCTGGTTGTAGTGCCATGGATTGTGCACACTGGGTGTGACGAAACCTTCTTATATGAGGTCTGCAAAAGCTGAGGGTACTTTAATACATATTTAAAAAGTTATGAACAATTTATATTAGCATATAGAAAGAAATCTAGTATATTCTTTAATTGTAATATATAAATTAAAAACATCCTCTTCTCTACACTTTTGTTTTTGCAATCCTTTTTTGATTCCTTAATATTTATGTAGGTAATGAAACTGGTTCCTAATGTAGGAATCTTATTAGTAATTTATACAAAGTCTACATGAAAGGCCAGTAAATTTGTATTCTATTGTAATTGTTCTCTTCTTCATTCCAATGCATGTTAAATCCTCTACATACACAGATTAGAATTTCACTTTTAACCACTCTCTGAAAACAATATTCTTACAAATTCTTTTCTTGTGGCATCCATAATTTACATCACAACAAACAAACGAAATATATAAAAGGGTTGAAAATTAAAGAACAAAAATGCAAGAAATGGAGGAGATGGAAACAGCTGGCAATCTCGTCATCATTCCATGTATGGACGACATGCGGAGAGTGAAGAATGTCGATCTCACACAGTTTTCACACAATTCCGAAGCTCCCATGAATCAGCGGAGTCTTTTGGGCTCTAAGACTGATTTTCTTTCAGTTCTTAACCGCTTTGAGGAAATTTGCTTAATATTCTTAATGTAATGTGCTGGTTTTTCTGATGAGACGATGCATCGTTAAGCCATATCATAAAACACTGAGTTTACAAAACAGTTTAGAATGTGAAATGGACAAACGTTGAATACTCTAGCTTCAAATCTTATGATATCAACGCAGTACAGGCTGCTCATATGAGGACACTGGTATGAAAACTCCGGAGCAGGATAAAATCCCAAGTAATTCTCGTGCGCAAATTTGTGGGTTTCTAATCAACTCATTTTGTGTAGAAAACAGGGGGTTCGAGTTTTTTGAATGGTTTGGATCCAAGCCAATAGGGTCAAGGAAGCTCAAACTCTTGATTCTGACGCCGCTCGTTAATGGTATACTTGCGGAATCCTACTTGACATGATCGATATTAGAATTGAAGAGCTCACAAAGCAGAAAAAAATGCTACAAATTAGAACGATGTCTCTTTCTGAACGCTAGTATCTTTAACAATATTAGATCAATAAAAAGTCTGTAAAAGTACTACCGTCGTTGCAGTTGTCGAATCGGCGACGACGAGTGGCCCACATTGGCTGCCTCCACTATCCGCCTGCGATTGCTGATCCCACGCCCATTGCTACGCCCCATCCTTTAGCTGGTGTGTGTATGTCTGTCACCTGAATCCATCCCGTTGTAATCACACCACCCTAGAACGCTTTATGACTTTTTTGTATCCTGTGCACTAGCCGTTTATCGTAACGCCTGAAAGAAACTATTGTAGAATTTGGGTTTGGCGGAATTGGCGTGGTGTGGTTGTTAAGTCTGGAAATTGGGTTACTTACGGAATGCTCTGTTCTTGCATCGATTTAACTATAATAAACTCAGAATTTGTCGAAACTTTTGAGGATTTCTTTTGTTCAACCTGCAGGTGAGGATAAGCTTTGGCCGAGGCCATCACTCGCAACCGCGCAGATTGTGGGCGTTAGAGATTGCTATTGTGCTCATCTACAGCTTCGTGTCCAAGACTTGAAGTATAATTTGTGAGTGGTTCAGTTGGGGCACCATGGTGCAGTGCCTTCCAGCGCAATGCCAACTGGTCTCTCCTGTGTCTACACAAATCGGTCCGAGAACTCGACGACTGACGTGCAACGCCGCTAGGATATCGCATAGCCGGAGAGGCTTAGGGCTGGCGGTGAGGGCGGAATCCAAATCTGCATCCACCTCCACAGTCGAACCTGCAGGTCCTGCACCTACTGAAGAAGTGACATTGACACCCACCGCACCGCCTTCAAAGTCTCTCATCAATGAAGAAAATATTCTCAGTGCCATATCTGGCCGGAGTAAGTCCTTCCTATTCTAAAATCGTGTTCCTTAACCCATATTTTAGATTACTCACAGTGTAAGGCGTTCAACTTGTACCATGTAATCCTAGACCGTTCTTGCAATTTTCGGGCTGTTTCCCGAGACCATCTTGGCAACACAGGTTTTGATCGTGCAGTGTTAAACTTCGTCTTATTTTTAACGTTCCCATTGATGTGGAGAATCAGAACTTAGGGAAAAATGTCTTGGGTGTGGCGTATGGTCCAGTTCTTGCAATACAAACTTATTTATGCTCTATCAAAAAACAAATCGTGTTCATAGTGTTTCGATTCATGTGTTGAATTGACTATATCTTCTTGAAGGTCATTTATGACACTCTTTGTGCTCAAATCAGATAGAACTGTTGTTCTGCTTACATATGAACTCATTAAACCGATCTAAATTTGGAATAAGAATTACCAATGGCAAAGGTGGGAACAGCTTATTCGTGTGGTTTCGAATCCACCCGATTCGTGCTCGTTATAACAGAAGAAGAGCTTCATGATAAGTATCTTACCGTCGTTTTGTTGATCAGACATTATTGTGGAGGATCACTACGGAAGGTTACGTGTTAATCCAGAAGCGTCGTCGTCAGAGGTGATTCACTCTCCCCGGAACTGACGAGTTTCAAGAATGTGGCCACTCGTTACATTAGAAAGTCGCCGAGTTGATTGTTGTGTGTTCTTCAGTTTAGTTGTCAAGCATTGAGGTTATCCTTGCCTTGAAGCCGAGGCTCTACATCTAGCACAGAATTTGGTTCACACGGATCACACGTGCCATCGCAGGGTTAAAGAAAAAATTATGTGTCATTCAATGCCACTGTCTTGTAGATTGTCAAAGCATATCAAGAGCGATGTGCGGAAGTGCGGCAACAAAATTTGGGGGAATCCGAAGCTCAGGAGATCCTTAACAAACTGAAGGTGCATTATATCGATCTTCCTGTCCCTGGTCTATGTTTGTATTTGATAGACCTGCAGAGAATTCCCAATGTTTGTCGAGCTTGTCATAAGTGTTTCCAACTTAGTCTGTACCTTGTAGCTAGCTGAGGATCAAATAGAGCAAAACTTAAAACCAGGATGAGTAATCGAAAGCTTCGTCTGCTTGAATTTGTGGTCACAATTGTGCATAGACACTATGATTGAGTTCAACTCCTGCGAATTTTGTAGGATTCTGTTGACCTCCTGACGTCCGAAGAAGAACGGCGGCTGTATGACTGGTGCCTGTTGCGCAAGGCAACACACACAGTTGACTACGCTTGGCCTTACGAGGCTGATCTAACACAGCGGCTCCAAGACCCCACAACTCTCGTTGTAGGTTTCCTTTAACCGTCATGCATACTATGCAAATATGGGTTTCTTTTTCCACGTTTATTTAATTCTAGTACATCTTATGAATCGCTGTTACGCCACCCATCAGCTCACTAGGTTATGTTTAAACTGGAACATGTCTTCATCCTCTCCTTTTCTCTTTGCAACTGATTACAGGCACATGTACACACATATCTTCTAGACAAGATATCGACTGAGAGGAATTAGGGTCAGAGGTTGAATTCGCTGTTATCAATCTCTTTGTATTATGCACAGGTGCCGCCGGAAGACGACGGAGTAAACGACCAAGTGGGCCTCTTCTTCGCTGGCTGGTTCGTGTTATCTTGCGTTCTTAGCATCGTCATAGGCCACGGATGGGACAAATGCTTGTGATTCTGCAATTACATGACGAGAGCTCTTATCAGAACTACTGTTATCAGAACTGCGTGACAAGGGTTCTTGTCGAAAACAATGCTGTCAGAACTATATGATACGAGCTGTTGTCTGCCTCTATTACGTAATAGATATTTTGGAAGAAGTCTGATTTACTGTTATGTTGCATAGCCACCCACATGGTGTACATATGGTGCCAAAAAGTTTGACTCAATTCCACCGTAAAGGTTTGATGTCTTTAATTTTATTTCATTCAATAATGAGGTTTACATAGTTCATGATTTGATTGATTGCAAATTGGTTACGAGGTTGTAGATGTATATAATATTCAAATCGTATTGTTTCATACAAAAAAATATCATATATCAGATGTCACAGTTCAAAGTGTGTTGTGTTCTTTTATGAACTTCTAAAACAGTATAAAGCAATTATCGAATATTATTCTAATATTGTCATATGTCTATTTGACTTTACAATCAATAACTTAAAAAAAACAATTGATTGGAATAAGAGAATCTAATTCTTAAGGCTTTTGTAAAATTATTAGTGAATTTTGTAATCTCTTTCGTGTTGCTTTACACTGATCATGTTTTTTAATGCAGCTAGAGGTCTCAATTTTTATTTTTATTTTTGGAAGTTGTTACTTTTTAATAAAATTATATACACTCATACATTGTTGCATTTTATTCGAAATTTTTGCCATGATCACAAAAATTCGAAAGATTAATGTAACTATTACTAAAGCTTGAATACAAAGATTATTTTGTACCAGTAAACTAAATTATTAAGTATATATATTTGGGAAATATTTTTCAACTACATAACGCTATTAGATCCATTGGTATGTTTTTATCGGTTCTTTTATAATTCAAATATTTAAGATACTTTTTAAGTATATATTAATAGTATAGCATGGACCTTATCAAAACTAATTTGGCCAGTATTAAATTGCAACTTATTGATTAGATGTTAAGACGAATTAAAACATTTAGCATATCATGTTTGTACTTTTCCTTTTTGACTTAGATTTTCTTTTGAGCTTTATGATGTTTACATTACTTTTCTGTAAACTTTGTCGTTATTACTTTCAGATTTTATATTTGGATATAAAAATGGTCTAACTTGATATGGACAATTAAAAATTGTAGAAAATTATTAATTTTTCTGCTACATTGATATACTGTATTAAAAGTAATTTTATGATATCACTGATATAAAAAAATTATTACTAAAATTTAAGCAGATTGAGTAATTTGTAATCAACTTAAAAACCTAAAATAATTAGACCGGTTACATCTCATAAGGTAGTTAATGTGGTGGAATAAAAAATTATGAAAATAATTTTACAAAAAAAACTGTACTTTTTAAATTAATAAAATTTTAGCTATTTAATTTTAAAAGATTCTATTATGATGTGATGTGGTTTTCCTTATTTCTTACGTGAACAATACACAAATAATAGCTGTTGAATATGTGAACAAATAATATGAATCACCTTCTGAAATAGTTTCTCAATCTCTGTATAAGTTCACTAGCGCAAATTCAACTTCTTGTGAGTATTCTACAACTGCTACCTGTGCTCATCTTTTAGCGTTCATGACATTTGCTACCATTGGGAAAAGCTAACACTTTGAAGGGGTATAAAGTTTTAATAGATTTTGAATCTTCTTGTACAAGACAGTATTATGAAGATCCCTGCAACATGATGGACTACTATTGTTTGTCATATCGTGCTCTTTGATTTCCAAACGTGAAAATTTTGCTAGACAATCAATGGGTATTAAAATTGATGGATGCAGGTTACACTTTAGGAGTCACTCTGCACATGTAGACACTTGCTGACTTCTTTAAAGTTTTTAAAAGTGGACTTAAGTTGGCCTGGTAAGTGTTCAAACATAAATGCAGATGTTTAGAGTATTTAAAAGCGTTTTGATCAATTTCAAAACGTTAGTTGGTAGTTCAAGAGACTTGCAACTAGATAGCATTGTGATGTTTCCAATTACAAGCAATGCATCATCGAGGATCGTGTGGTCCATGCATCCAACCATGGAGTCAGGACGTCCGGAAAGCGCGCAATTTGAAAGCAAAAACAATGGATGCTCATTTAAGCATCTTGGCAATTTTCGCTCCTATGGTACGGTCCTCGCCAATTAGGTGCGCGGCCTGCTATGCTCTGATTGCAAAGTCATATTTAAGTTGAGTTCCAGACAACCTGAAGGCTAATGGAAGTGCTCTAGTTCGAAACTGCCCAAAGGTTTTGTAGGAACTACAAAGTCCTGCAAGGAACCAACTTACAACGAACAGACGATAAGCACTTGACTTGTCTACGATTTTCCGATATTCCAAATTGAAGTGAAGGGTAGGGCAAGTTGATGCGTGGTGCACAGACATACCAGGCTGTCATTCATACAAATCGTCTTTACGATATGCAGCTATTAACTAGGAGCCAGGCATCGTATTGAGTTGGTGCGAGGTTCTGCAAACCAAGAGCGCGCCAATCAACATTCTCCAGCGGACAGATGAAACCTGCAGGTTTTTAAGGTGTGAAGTTTCCAAGAGCCGTTATTGTAAACCACGGTCGACCATCAGCAGTAGGGTGAAGGATTTCCTTCAGGTCAGTGCAAGTCCAAAAAGTTAGCAGCCATACAACCTGTAGGGGACAGAACCAACATTTTAGGTGAGGGCAAGTGGATCAACCAAAACATCCAGTTTCGATGAAGTGGTCGACAAGAATTCCACATTAGCCGTTTTAAATCAAATTATGCATATTATACCTATCATAATTCTCTAACATTACGTGATCCATTCCAGCTAAGCTGCTCAAGTAAAGATTCAATCATTCTAACACAAAATGCCCTCGTCAGCCCCGAGGGGTACAATGATTGATCAGATTTGCTCGCTAATTGCTATCTGAATAACAGAGGATTAAAACCCGCAGCTACAACTAAAATATTTATTAAAAGGGGGAAGGTCTATCATATCATGTATGTTGTTAACCCAATACATTTTAAAAGGGTATCAACAAAACAAAGAGGGCTTCTCAGTCAAATCATTATCATTCGGGCTTTGAGCTAAGAATTGTTCAATCTCTTCTATTTCTTTGGGAGCTTCGGCCGTGAGTATCTGCATACAACCAAGTTCACAACAACAACTATAGTCAAACTGATAGAAATTAAACAGCGTGAAAAAGATACGAGGATAGCATCAAAATACAATGAAACTCTCTCGAAGAGCGATGCAGTCCTAATACTATCGCCAACCTAGGCCAAATCGGATTACACCTACTCCAGAAGTCAGTCAGTATGTTTCCATGGAGACGCTTACCTCGTAGCCTGTGGCTGTAATAAGTACTTCGTCTTCTATTCTTATTCCAATGCCTCGGAACCTGCAGGTAGTCAAGCCTGGGTAAGTCTTACAACCTTGATTCCTGAAATACACAATGCATAACCAGTACAAGCCTTTTGCCACTGATCTATTAAAAAATTAACCGAAGAGTTCGTATTCTGTGACAGTACAAATAACAACTACGTAGATCAATAAATCAATACGTTGATACTTCAATGTAAATTCTGATATGGCTTGTACAGTCATACTTTTCAGGTATCGTCTGCTTGGCAGGTATATAGAGCCCAGGTTCAATGGTGATCACCTACTCAAGTGTATACCACATTCACGCATAAGAATTCACAGTTCAATATGAGAAGCAAACAAGATGTTCAGATTATGATCATGAGATTGAAAGAAAAAGTTGAAAGACTGATTTCAACGTTGCAAACGAAGCAAGAAAATATAAAAGAATGTGATTGATCTTAGTTACTCACCACACCAGGCTGGAGGGGTCGATCTAAGCTAACAGTTGAGCAATCATGCACATCCATACCTAGGTAATGTCCTACAACCAACAAATTGTCAATGATATACCACTACTTAGGTTGTGCATCGCTAGTCTCAGATGCTGTAAAGGAGATGAATTGCACAAGTTTGTACAGGAGAAGCAAGTTACCAATTTGTGTTCTATTGAAGCTGTAAAACTTAAATAAATCAAATGGGCCTGTTACTAGACCCAACTTCAATAAACCTTCCCAAAGCAACGCCACCTGCAATGAAGAATAAGGAGAGGTATATGTTAATTATTGAGCTCAATCTGATAACTGTAGGTAATTGAGGAAAAAAAATAAAAATAAAAATAATCTATAAGTTGTCATCGCATCTATTCTCAGTATCTCAACAAGAAATTATAGTTTCTACATTCAGCATAAAGCTGGTTGACGAATGGTGGCGCCATGTGCATTACAGAATCTTCTTCAAGATGCAGCAAATAGCATGTAAGGTAGAAATTACAGAGCGAGAGTGTATTTGAGATAAGGTCACGCCAGGCCGGCACATCTTGAAACATTCCTTCATTACATCAAGTATGATGGTGTAAACTTGTTTCTGAGCTCATCAGGAGAGATAAACGTCAGAAGCTATCCTGATGATTGATTCGCTTCAAGACACCAAACCGAAAAAGAAGAAAAGAACAGAAAAATACATATATAGTAAAATAAAACAGAATAACCAACATGAGTGAAAGGAAGAAGAACAAGACGCCACATCCGAGATGTCTGTATGAGAAAAGGGTTTCTCAGGATGTTACCTTGGCGTCGGTAAAATAGCCACAAGGAGGCCAGGTACGAGTCATGTCACTAACATAGCCATGATATTCGCAGCCCACGTCCATGAGCACCAAAGCTTCATTATCAATCTGGTTTAACCAGTACCAGAGTTAGCTCTCAAAGTCAAATCCATAGTTACAGGCAGTCTTTTGGTGGCTAACCAAATGATAGCAGCTCAACCAATATTGCGCTTTGACAGCTTTCTCCATATCAATTCCTAAGAATCACGTATTGAGAATACCATGAGCACCACTCTAGGTGCTTAAGTGGTTACAACTATCAAGAATCGAACTTGAATACCGCCATTCAGTGCAATTATCTCCGTATCATAAGCTCCAATGGCTCACTTTTTTATCGTGTCGGGAGTAGTGAACAATGCTGCCATTCGCTCCCCCACCCACAACTGATGGAAACCTGTTCATCAAAATGAGTTTTAATCTCTTCCATCTAAGTTAAAGCTTCCAATATGTTGAACATACTATAAAATACATTTGTCAAGCTTAAGAGGCCAATGCAAACTTCTTACGCCATTTGTTGGGCTCCTCGACGTTTGCACTCATACTCAACAGTAGCTGCCAATAAGTGTTCATGTTGCCAGGCTCTTGAAGCTTGCATACTCCGCTTTACTGCCTGTCCACCCAGGTGTAGATATAAGCTCAGTGCATTCACAGGCTCCACAGACCTTCATGGCCATTGAAATTTTGATGCACGTATTGAATTTACTGCCTGTCAACCTTTCGGTTACCAATCAGCCCTCTAATTGCATATATCTTTTCTATGCTTGATGTTGCAACTTACATTTGGTAATATTATGATGAATAGATACGAACCTTGCAAGTGATGGATGCCGCTTCTCGCATAAGGTTGAGCTCTGAGGGTGATTTAACCCAACGCTGTTGATGAGAATACCTGTTCAGGCTGCGCACTCTGCCCTGCTGTAAGGCACTTTGAAAAGCTTCTAACTCTGCCACTACAGGTGTAAGCGACCCCAAATCACAGAACACTGTTTTTGCACGTCGAATAATATCTGGTAAAACCTGTAGAGCGAAAGAATATCGTATCAGAGCTAGCATTTTCAACGCAACTCCTATGTTTTCAGACAAATATAGGGGTGGTACATTGTCAGTTAGCTTATGCAAATGTAAAAGAGAATCCCTCACAGAAATACCTTCCGAAGACGTCGCAATGAATGAGTGACATCTGCTCCGAAGACACGACTAGCCTCATCAGGTCCTGCTAATTTTCCATTCCAGGTTTCCCTCTGTGCGAAGGCTGTAATTAGATCGCGAAGTATGTATAAATCAAGCACCTCATTGCAATCTCAATGCAACTGGAACCATAAAGATTCATCCATAGAAAGAGCAGCTGTCACGCATACATGCTCCTATAATTTGTAAAGAAAACTCTCAAACCGCTCCTCAAAGCTAGTCTTAATTTTGAAATCCACTTACTTGAAGTAAAACCAGGGCACACGTGAATCTACACGATCAAATACAGGAGTACTTACTTCAGGATCCCAGTTGGGCATAAACATGCACAAATCTGCATCATCATACAGAACTGCAATTCCTTCTGGCTGCTGAGAGCCTGTATAGTAAAGATAGTCCGCATCTTGTCGAAATGGATACGGAACAACATCTGTCATTTGTTTGACAGAAGCAGCTGACAATATGACCATGCTCTCTGTGGGTAAACGAGACCGAAGTGCTGTTCTTCTTTCCTTGAAATCTCGAAGACTAATGCCGGGAAACAGCTCATCCCCTGACAGCATCTGCCACCTTTATGCAGATTAACATCACTTTCCAGCATTGCACAAATTCGTTACCTGAAACTTCCAAAATGCCAGAACAGATTCTCCGCTTCCATCATTCAGACCCACGCAAAGAGGCATACCTGAGGGTGCGATTCAGACGTAGGCTGCCCCGCATCGTAGGGAGCCGTCCATGGTTGAGAATACCATCGCCTGGTAGCAAAATACTGGCCATTTTCGTGACCAATTTTCTGTGTCTGCAGACGTGTATGGATTAAGTCGCGATTACAATACAACTCTTGGCATTGTGTGTGATGAGCCAGCAACGAATGGTGACCCTAAAAAGAGTAAAAACATCTTCGCTGTGCCTTGACAAGCGAGTTTGATAGGGCAACATGTTGCCCGATTTGGATCAAACCACAAACTAATGATTTGCTTACCGAAGAGACTTCCCTGCAACACAATCTCCAAGACACTGGAACCAAACTCCTCCAAGCAGCCATCCTTGCCAGCATATGACCGAATTTGCCACTCAAAAGTCGTTCAACCTCCTTACACGACTTCATTCGCATCCAAACACCTTCCTCCCCATCGAGCCTCTGGAGCAACCAATTGACAGTCCAAGCAGCAATTCAGCGGACTTCATCTGCTAAGCCGACCTAAACGAAAATAACGAACTTATTTCAGGTCGAACCCGCATTCCTCACGCTCCTTGAGCTCTCTCTGTTGATTGCTCCAGACAACGAATGATCGGAAAAAGGTTTAAGAATTGCCGATCTCTCTCTCCCGCTCTCTCTCTCGCTCTCTCTCTCTCTTCCTCCCTCTCACTTTCGTAATAAATGTTGGTCCAAGACGGTGGAGACCATCTACAATCAACTTTTTCCACCAACTTCTATACAAAACCCAGCATTCTCTCACAAAATTATGTCATGTTACGAGCTCGCGGTTCTTACAAGCTTCGACAAAATTGTAACAACAAATTTCAAACGCGAGTACAACTTCAACAAGTAGGGGTGTAATATTCACACCGCAAAACTGCGCCGACCGGTGTCCCTCGGAATTTGGGTTTTGGCACTCCCTCGTCGCCGCGAACGACGGTGACAAGTGCCGGACGAAACAAGAGGACGAACACTTTCGATGGTCAAGGAGTAAACTTCTCAGTTCCTCACCGACCCAATTCTAGCCCCCACTCAACCCCACAGCTTCTCCGGAATTCCAGGGACGGAAAAGTCGAGTGGTCAAGATCAGTTGCAGATGCATTTAAAAGCCGCCCAAGCAGAGTACCAGTATTTTCAGAAATACGTTCAAGAACATAAGTCCTTTGATAAGTTGGTGGAAATTCATCACGCAAATGCACAACAATCCGTTATCGACTTCCAATCCATACCTATTCCACCTTGACAAAAGAAAAAAAAAAAAAAAAAAAAAAAAAGATAAAAAAAAAGGAAAAAAAAGCACTACACGATGTAAAAGAAAAATTAAATAAACAGTAACTCCAAATTGGCTCGAAAAATCCGAAACCATCTCGAAACAATCCAGTGAATTTTAAATCAAAAGTAATGCAGGATTAACTAAAGAGTTGACTACAGAACAAATAGCACTTAATCCATAGAATACACATTTTCATAAAATACAGAACTTGATACAAAACTACAATTTAACTTACCATGGACAGATGCAGAAAAACGACAAGAGTCATCCCACAGGGAACATGTTAAACATCCCTCTCGAGTGTCGCAACTACTGAGAATTACGAACACGACTCCGTGCATCTCAGCCACGCATGTATTCTTATACAGTTCAGTGCAATTTTCAGTTCCTCCCTGCCCGTACTCTCGGACTTGCACTCGTCAAATCCTTTGTTCCCATCAAAAGATACGAACCCATATCGTGGGCACAACGTGCACAAAACAGAGACAATTTACTGAAAAACCACCGATGTAAACCAAAACGCACAAAGAGCAGAGGTGGAAGGGGGTGAAGCAAACGATTGCAACACACAAACACAGACGAGTTCTGATTGGCTTGTGAGCATGAGGTGGACAAGGCATGCACACAGATTTGGAAGGGAAGCAAATGGGGTAATCAGCCTTGAGGGGTGGTGGGTGTGTTGAAGTGGGCACAGATTCCATATTCCGCGGTGGTGGCATTGATTCCAGATTCCAGACGGGGCAAAGAAAGGAAATAAACAGAAGAAAGGGAAAGGAAAGAAAAGAAAAGAAAAAGAAGAAGAGAAATATAAAGGGCGCCAATTATAGGGTGCCTTTCTGGGCGAGAAGGGCAGGCGGTCATCGGTCAACGCAGGGGAACACAAAAACAGCGAGCAGCGAGGAAGAGGCGACGAAGGCGACACAGGGATGACGACGACGACGAGAAGGAGGACGCAGAAGAAGAAGAGCGGCGGGGGGGGGTGGTCGTGGACTCCCTAAGGAAGGAAGGAAGAGGAAGCTGCCACATGAAAACCAAAGCTTCTTTCCTCCTCCATGAAGAATGGAACAGACTCTCTCTGCAGGAAAAACTCAACCCCACTCGCTCGCTCCCTCACTCACTCACTCACTCACTCACTCTGTCTGCTGTTTCTCATTCGTGTCCCACGCTCTCTTGCTCTTGTTCTCGCTCTCGCTCTCACTCGTCGTCGCTACGCCTGCCCTTCCCCCTCCCCCTCCCGTGTCTATCCCGCAATCCTTAGCGCTTCCTCCCTTCTCGCCACACCCCCTCTTTTTCTTTCTCTTTCTCTCTCTACTTCCTGCTTCCGCTCTTCCGTTTCTTCTCATCTGCTCTCTTCCCTCTTCGATGCCATGCTGCTTGCCCGCGTCTTTTCGGTTGGAAGTGAAGAATGATGCCGCAGTTTGGGGTTTGAGGCTGGTTTCGGTGGTGGCTGCTTAGTATTCAAGGATGATTGTGGGTGATGCCGCCAGGGGATGGTTTCTTTCGAGGAAGAGGGGAGGTGTAGATCGGTGCAGGGTTATGCAGCAAGAATATATTCGATTTGGGCCGCGTGATGCAATGCTTGAGGATAGGTAGAACACGAAGCGGGGGATGTGACCTTTGATTGCGTGCAGGAGCGGGTGACGTTCTGATGGGCGAGGACGGAGGAATTGCAGAGTGCGCGGAGTGGAAGGAATAATCGGCGCGGATATTGGGAGTTGGCAACCCTAAGAGAGGTTGAAGCGGCAATTTGTGTGGGTGATGACGAAGCAGTGACGGCACGAAGATGGTGCATGCGCGGTGCGCATGCAAATGACACAGATCATCGGAGGAGCAGCTGATGACATGTCCAACAAGCGGCGGCGCAATGTCAATGTGGCGGTGGACGATCAGGAGCAGCAGCAGGCTGTTGTATATAAGAAAGCCAGGATAACATCGTCGCCGACATCGTCGGCGGCGTCCACTTGTGGTGCACCGGCGGTGCCGGCTACAGAATCAGGTGTTGAAAGTGACGCGGGTCGCGATGCGCATTGGACAAGTCTTCCAGATGAAACCGTGCTTGGGTTGTTTAATCTGCTGAACCACAGGGACAGGGCGAGCCTTGCGTCCGTGTGCAAGGGATGGCAGGTGCTGGGGAGCTCGCCATCGCTGTGGAATTCGCTGGATCTTCGGTCGCACTCGTTGAATTCGGAGATGGTGTCTGCGCTGGCAGGACGATGCTCGAATTTGGAGGCGCTGAAGTTCCGCAGAGGTGCCTCTGCGAGCTCAATTGTGGGGTTGCAGGCGAAGGGGCTTAGGGAGCTGAGCGGCGATTGCTGCAGCCAGCTGTCGGATGCAACCCTGTCCATGGTGGTCGCCCGGCATGCGAACCTGGAGAGCTTGCTGCTGGGTTCGGATTGCGAGAGAGTGACGAGCGAGGCATTGAAGGTGATTGCAGTGTGTTGTCCGAAATTGCGACGGCTGTGCGTGTCGGGCGTCCTAAAAGTGGAGAGAGACGCCATCCAGGCGTTGTTCCAGCATTGCAAGGGTCTGACGGAGCTGGGGTTCCTGGACAGTCACACCATCGACGAAGGGGCGTTCGGGGGTGCGAGCAGCCTGCGATTTTTGTCGGTAGCGGGATGCAGGTGTATAGTGTGGAGCACGGCGGCGCATTGGTGGAGCAAATTGCCGAACCTGGCAGGGCTGGATGTTTCGCGGACAGATATCACTCCGACTGCGCTGATGCAGGTCCTGGCAGGGCCCGAGCTGAGGGTGGTTTGCGCTCTGAACTGCCCTGTTCTGGAGGAGGGCAGCAACCCCGTGACACTGCCGTCGTCGAAGAAGACGGTGGTGCTGGCTCGGTTCACGGATGTGATGGAAGGGTTGGATGCTTTGCTGAGCCCGAGCAATTGGAAGGAGGAGGCAGGCTCGTGCGCGAGGTCGAGGTGCGGCGGGCGCGCGCGCGCGGATTCGGAAGTGGCGAAGTGGACGGAGTGGATGTTGTCGCATGCGGTTTTGAAGATCGCGGAGTGCAATGCACCGAGTCTGCTGAAGCAGGGGATCGCGATGATGCTTCGACTGGTTCAAAGCGCGCAGGAGGATGTACAGGAGAGGGCTGCGTCGGCTTTGGCGACGTTTGTAGTGGTGGACGACGAGAACGCGACTGTAGATTCTGCGCGGGCGGAAGCTGTGATGAACGGGGGCGGGATCGCGCTGCTGTTGGGGCTGGCGAAGTCTTGCCGCGAGGGGGTGCAGTCGGAAGCTGCGAAGGTAGGGGGGTTGGTGGGGAATGTAGTGGAGTGTGAGTGTGCACAAGGCAGGCGTGTGCGCAGGAAGGATTGTAGGGTAGCGGGGGTATTGCGTGAGTTGTGGAGCGTGGGGTGGAGCAGGGTCGGGGGAGAGCAGGTGGACGACGATGGTGGTATTTGCGGAATGGGTTGATGTTTGTGGGAGTGTGGGTCGCATGCGGGCACAGTGCGTGTGGGGTGCAGAAGCTGTGGGGAGTTGGATTGACTGGTAGCTGTTGGGTTGGTTGGTGCAGGCCATCGCAAATTTGTCCGTGAACACGGAGGTTGCGAAAAGGGTTGCTTTGGAAGGAGGCATCAGTATCCTGGCTGGTTTGGCGAGGTCCCGGAACCGGTGGGTTGCTGAGGAGGCGGCCGGGGGTTTATGGAATCTGTCGGTGGGAGAGGAGCACAAGGTGAGGCGCTGTGGTTGGCAATTGCGATGAAGTGTTTTGCTG